ACTAGAAAGATGTATATTTATTATAAAAATGTCTATGATATCAGTCTTTAGTTGTTCCTTTTTTTTCTAAATAAAGCTTGACCTTTAATTTGATTGCTTATTGTTTGTTGAATAAAAGAGTTCCAATGTCAAATTGAATAAATGTGTTAATGGTGTTAAAGATTTTTTTTACATTGCTAAACATTTTTAATTTATCACATGCAATAAATACATTTTGATAGCGTTGATTTTTATAATTGATTCTCAGTATCTACTGCTTGATTTAGAGACTGAAGGACTGTAGTGTTTGTGTTTGTGTTCAGTGAGATCTATATTTGACTCTATCTGATGGTATCTGCAGGGCTGGAGAGGAAAGTGCCCAGCAGGCAGAATCGTGACGATCTTGTCAGGAAGGGCCTGGCAGAGGCTGGCATGGGTGAGAAACATCACTCTTCAGCTCCCCGCTGTCAGCAGCAGCGTGCAGGCGTAACGTTAGCGAGATCACCTGCTCCTGTCTGACCACCAGCAGAGTTAGGAGGCTTTTATGAGAACGTGATGACAGCCGTTTTTCCCGTGCTTGCAGAGTCTGGCCTGGCGTGTGGCGTGAGTCCAGACGAGGCAGGAGCCCCAGCGCTGGACGAGTCTGACGGAGAGGAGCGCGAGGACGAGCCCATGGCTCCGCTGGCCAGCAACACCGAGGATCTCGGGTCTGATGAGGACAATCTGTCTGCAGGTCAGGATCCGTGAACGCAGGGCCTTCTGTAAAACGGATGACTGAGAGCCAACATGGAGTGAAAATTGATGCTGTTAACTCTATCACTGTTGCAGTGTTTCTACAATAATGTTTTTGAAATTTAATGCTCTGGTGGGTGAACTTGACCAAGACCACTTGATTTTTCCAAGTTGTAAGTAAAACAAAGATTATTGGAGAATGTTATACAAGGAAATACTTAAATCTTTCTACTTCAAAATGTAATTCAATGTGTCATTTGTCGTCTCTTTCTCATTATTTGTGAAATTTGTTTTAGCAATTTCTGAGAGAAAATTATTTTAAAGTAAAGAATACACAGAATTTTTTCAGTGCAAGTCCTGGTCAAAAAGCCAAAAACTAGACCAGTGGAAAGGAGTAGATGCCCCACAATACACTGCAAACTCACATTAATGGACAAAACAATTTCCATATGATTTCTTTCTTTACTTATTTATTTATTGTTGAATATTCTGTTTCAGGAATATGACTCATTAGGGAAGCAAAATAGGTTGCATGTCATCTTGATACTGACACTGAAAAAAATGAGTGTATAAACAGTTTTAATTTAGAAATTGCTAAAAACAATTACAAAGAAATGGCAAGTGAATTAGCACTAGGTGGCGGCAGAGATTACAGAATGCTCTTTTCTGGCCTGATCTCTTTACAGCGCGAGACGCCACAGAGATGATAGACACAGAAGGGGAACTTGAACAAAGTGAGGATGAGGAGCAGTCCTGTGTTAATGCCTCAAACAGAGGGGCCAGTGTGGGGCCCCCTGAGGCCCCTGAGTGCCATGAGCAGAAAAAAGAAAAGGCGCCACTCAGAGAAGTCCACACTCCTCCAGCCAAACCTCCTGTGAAGCTACTTACTAGACTGGGCAGCCTCGACAGTCCGTATCAATTTATCAGATGCATGTATAATAGTTTTCTAGATTTTTCCAGAAGAGTGCTTGTTTTAAGTAATAATGAAACTAAATTAGTCACAACAGTTTTTATTTTTGCTCTTGTCCGTTAGGTACCCACTCTAATCAGAGCAGGCCCGCTCCTGCCACGCTGCCCAGGAACTTCACCCTGCCCAAAGATGCCCTGCGGGGCAGGATCTCCACCCCCACCGGCTCCCCTCACTTAGGTCTGATGCCCCCTAGCTGCATCATCGAGGAACTGCACCGTGCGCTGGCCGCCAAACACCGGCAGGACAGGTGAGACACTCATGCGGGACAGTCCTTCAGGAATCATTTATCCAGATTCCCTAATCATTTATTAAAAGCACCATATAGATGTAGTTCTGTCATGACAACTCTCGGAGGGATTGGCATGGTAATGTACATGACAATGTTAATCTATTTGGTCTTGGCAGAATAGATCTGCTGCTGCTGCGGCAGAGCAAGTACCGAGACTTGCTACTGCCAATACATCCACAACATGCTGCTGTGAGCATGTAAGAAATACTGCTGCTGCAAATATAACATACATGAAATAACCCCATATAGCATACATGAATCACCTCGTAGCAGATCTATACAGGTGGAGCTGGGGAAGGTGGAGGGTTTCTGAAGCAAGCTGCACTGCTACGGCAAGCACTAGTTATATATTTGAATGTTGAGCAGCGAGCTCATTGGCTACCGATACAGGAGAGAACCAATCAGCTGTGCCATGTGATAATGATGTCATTTGGGTCAGACTGAGTACCTATTGGACTGCTCCATCTAGAGTTTCATGCCAGAACTCTGTATTTCATATGAATTTTGTGATATGTAGTCACATGATAGGTACATTACTGTTCAAAGGTTGGGGTCAGTAAGATATTTGAATGTTTTTCAAAATAAGTCTCACCAGAACTGCATTTATTTGACCAAAAAAATACAAAAATATTATTACGATTTAAAATAGCGTTTTTCTATGCGAGTATCAGTTAAACTGTAACTGACTGCTGTGATACGCAGCTGAATTTTCAGCATCATTACTCCAGTCTTCAGTGTCACATGATCTTCAGAAATCATTCTGATATGCTGATTTACTGCTCAAAAAACATTTCTGATTTTTATCAATGTTGAAAACAGTTGTGCTGCCGAATGTTTTCATGGAAATCATTAGTTTTATTTTTCAGAATTCTTTGATGAATAGAAACTTCAAAAGAATAGCATTTATTTGAAATAGAAATGATAATTTGTAGTCACTTTTGATTAATTTAATGTGTCTTTGCTGAATAAAAGTATTAATGTTCTTCAACAACAACAACAAAAGCAACAAAAGTTTCTGACCCCAAATGTTATTAAACAGTAATGTGTCATTGTGCATTGAAAATCTTCCATAATTTTTTTAAAACATAATTTATGCATGTGGCCATTTAATGATGGCACCTTGCTATTATAAAATGCATCACAACATGTTTGAGACGATTGACTGCTGACCGGTTGGGTTCTCACATACTATTCCTCTAGTGTGACTTCTCAGGTATAAACATGGTAGATTTAACTGCATTTAACCCTCAGATGAGACAGTATGGGAAATCAAACACAGTCAGGGAGTTCAGATGCATTAACCATTTTTTCAGTCATTTTTTACATGCACATTTATGCTTTTGCATAGTTTCCATGGTAAGGAGATCCGTAGCTCACCCAGACGGCGCTCAGATGGACGGCTGTCCCGCACCGCCAGCACTGAGAATGAGCCGAGCGAAGAGGTGCAGAACAAACAAGAGGCCGAAGAGAACAAGGAGAACATGCGTCTGGATGAATACTACAGCGACCAGGACAGCTGGAACGAGTCCGTCATCTCTGGTCTGTTGCTTTGTGCTGATTGTGGACATCAGTGTTATATAAGAATCTTCTTTTTTTATTTTTTACATTAGCTACTTAACAATATTTGCAAAGTATCTGTTTAATAAAACTAAATTGGGGATTCAAACTGAGATTTGGGATCAGTGTTATTTTAGCATTATTTATATATAGTATTCATTAATATATTGGAATACATCTCAATTCAGTCAATAGTGTAATATTTTAAATGATTATATTTTAATATTTTCAGTTTTAGTGCTTTTGTTTTGGGTGTTTCTCACTGTAATTAGTATTTATATTCATACAATATATATATATATATATATATATATATACGTATATATACACAGCATATTGAATATACAGTATATATGAACATGCCTGGCCCTTGTTGGTCCATTTTACCCTCATAAATGATCATATGAACATATGTTTGGGTTTGTGCAGGTACACTTCCACGACGAATAAGAAAAGAGCTTCTGGCAGTAAAGCTGCGTAACAGACCCAGCAAACAGGAGCTGGAGGACAGGAACATCTTCCCTGTGCGCAGTGATCAGGAACGCCAGGAGATCCGCCAGCAGATTGAAACGAAGCTTGCCAAGTGAGTCTGGTTATTCCATGTCCTGCCATACTGATGCTACAAAGGTGGATTAAAGTTTCATTCACATTTAATATACACTACTGATCAAAAGTTTGGGTCGGTAAGATTTTTTTAAAGAAATGAATACTTTTATTCCCCAAGGATACATTCGTTTAATTTAAAAGTTCTTCTGAACTTTCTATTCACAGGAAATATTCATCAGCACTTGCTGTTTTCACCATTTTCTTTGCTTTAGTGCCCTGATTTTACATTAGACATCGAGTGTGGACACAATGCAGAAGTAAAATTGCTTGTCACACAAAAGTAAACAAAAATGCTAAAATATATGGGATTTTTTTGTCCCTTTTAAATGCTCATAAGTTTATTTTCCCATCCTGCCAGTGCATTATTTTATGGTTAGTTGCATGTTATTATTTGCTTTTAGTGTTGTTTTCCCCCTGCTGTCTGCAATCAGAACAGACCTGTGACCAATTTTTGAGGACTACTAGTTTTAAAGGTGGTCTGACTCGTGCATTGAAAACAAAAGGAGAAAACTAACTTTTTAGGACTGTATTGTGTAGATGTACGTTATAATTTAGCTTTGGAAAGTGTATGTACTATTAGGGTTAAGGTATATAATTATTATTATAATTTTAACTAACCCTTGGGCTTTCATGGAACACAAAAATGGATATCCATGAAAAATTGTTATGTTGCACTATGAGATATTGGTGATTTCCGGTTCGTGTTGCATCTGTCATGGTTTGTCAGGTGTTTTTCTTTTAGCCATCAGTTTAATGACCATGCAGTACATGTGTGCGTACAGTACCTACAATACACATGAACTGCATGTCAACCAGTAGGGGGAGCTATAACATTTCTGTTTCTGTGAAACCCAAGCAAATGATCACACAGTATTGCCACTCTTTGTTTTCTGTGGGATTTGAGTCAGCAGAAACCTTGATTCTCTAGTCAGTGAAGCGTTTTTGTGTTCATTTTGAGTTTGTGTGATTTTGAGGTGGGCTTTGGATCATTGTTCTGCTAGAAGATTCAACCATGGCCAAGGCTTCCTGATAGTCAGTCAGCTGTGTTAGCATGTACTGGTAGTTTATGATATCATGTCTCCCCCTCACAAGCTGTCCGGGGGCCTTTGAATGAAAAATACGCCACACATCCATCAGTATACTTCACAGGGACCTTTTAGCTGTTAGAACTTCTGTCTGTGCCAAATCCATTCCTAGTTGTGTCTCCAAAAAGCTTTTTGGCCTAATTTCTCTAAAGAGTTCCACTAAAAGTTCCAGTAATGTTTGGCAAACTGTAGGTGCATGAGTTTGTTATTTGATGGTAGCAAAAGCTTTTTTATAGTAACCCTCCCAAACAAGTTGTGGTTATGTAGGTGGTGTCTGATGTTTTGGAGATTTTCTGAACCCAAGACCAACTAATGTCTGCAATTCCTCAACTGTGATCCTTACAGATTTTTTTACGAGTATATGGATATTTTTGTGCCGTGAAAAATGATCTATTAAATCAGTTAAAAAACAGACAGTGGGGCGGGTGTTTTCTGTGTATTCTCTAAACGGTTTAGATATTTAAGGGCGTCACAGATTTGCATAGAGCAATAGTCAGATAAACCTCTTTTTGTCTGGCTCTTCAGAAAACTTTAAGCTAGCTTTTAGGGTAGCCAGATGTCCTCTGTTTCCTGGGAAATACAGGACCTTCCCATGCAAAACAGGACATCTGCTTACCGTAAGAGGTTTGAAAGCCATTTAATTTAGAGAAAAAAACAATCAACACAGTCTTTGCAAGCCTGCTCATTCTTAGTCGTATTTTTACTCTCGCTTTGAATTTCGTTTCTTGGAGGCCACCTTCAGGCATCCTCATGAGATGGGCTCCTTTATCATTTATGTTTCTTGCTTAAGTTGTTCAAGTCATTAACTGGTTATGCCTCCTCAGTGACTGCATAATAAACAGCAATTTCTGCCCGTGTCCTCTTGGTTCCACTGTATTCATCCTTCTCAGCTGTAATTATAAGTGAGCTAATAAAATATTAATGAGAATGGTGTGTGTAATCCCAATGGCTGTAAATAACTGGAGAGTTGCTGGAGAAAGAGGAACAGAGCAAAGACTGCTAACCGGCCACTGTCTAATGGACGCTTCTACTAAGCAACTGCTTCCTTTACTAAAGCTGGACTGATTTTTCTATTTTCTTTGCTTTCTCTGTATGCTCAAGACACACATGCACATTGAATTGTTTTGCACATTGAATTTGTTTTTGATCCACAAGGTGGCAGCACTGATGCTAGGTGTTGTTTTGTGGTCAAACAAGAAATGGATGAGAAGGAAAAACTCTAGCAACAAACCAGTGGAGAATGAAACAACAATAGGTTGCCACATTTGTGTCAGGGGGTTCAGATATTCACAAAACTCTACTTTAAAAGAATATAAAGATACATTTAAGTGATAAATTTTTGTCATATTTAATTTCTGAAGAGAAATAGTGCAGGAACTGGATAAAGATGATACTTTGGAAGGTTATGTGAAAGGCATATGTTGTGTGCTGTAATGGGGAGAACTTGGGGAGAAAAACACAAGATAGGGGAACACAGGACTGACATTACTCCCCCCTCCCAGAAGGCGCGTCCAACGGGGAGGGGGGGTGGGCGCTCAGGAGGCCCCTCAGGACAGACCTACACGGGACGGCAGACCCCCAGGGGGCCATGGAGGAGCATGGAGCACAGGGGGCCATGGCGGAGCAGGGAACTCAGGAGGCCTGGCCTCGGCACTCAGCCCGAGCTCTACAGATGGATTCCTATAACCCACCCCCCCAAATAAAAAAATCCTTGGGGAGAATATTGGTTTCTATGGCCCTCCGTGGGCAGGATGTGGGAACAGCGGCCCTCACTGGGCCGGACGGGGGGACTGGAGCCCTCCTTGGGCTGGATGTGGGAACTGGATCCCTCCTTGGGCTGGACGTGGGAACTGGAGCCCTTTTAGGAGCGGACTCAGGGGCTGGAGCCGACACTGGAGCAGACTCAGGGGCTGGAGCCGACACTGGAGCGGACTCAGGGAATGGAGCCGACACTGGAGCGGACTCAGGGACTGAGCCGACACTGAAGCGGACTCAGGGGCTGGAGCCGACACCAGCTGAAACAATTGAACATAATTGACACGAGGGAGAAACTAGGTAATGGGGAGAACATGGAGAGAAAAACACTAGATATGGGAACACAGGACTGACATTACTCCCCCTCCCAGAATGCGCGTCCAACGGGGAGGGAGGGGGGGTGGACGCTCTGGAGGCCCCTCAGGACAGACCTACACGGGACGGCAGGCCTCCAGGGGGCCATGGAGGAGCATGGAGCTCAGGTGGCCATGGCGGAGCAGGGAACTCAGGAGGCCTGGCCTCTGCACTCGGCTTGAGCTCTACAGACGGATCCCTATAACCCACCCCCCCAAGTAAAAAAATCCTTGGGGAGAATATTGGTTTCT